AACAAACAATTTCGTTTTTAGAATAAAAAGACATAACATTTTTTTTTTATACAGTTTTATTTAAAACAAAACAAAGCGAAAAAACATGAAAAATTTTCTCACAAATGTGCTCACTCAATATATACGGTGGCGAGAATGTAAATAAGGAAAATACATTTTAGCAAGTTTGGCTACTTTTCTTTTTTTGTTAATATTTTTTTATGAAAATCTAGCTTACTATCTAAAAAACCATGTAAATTAATATTTTAAACTCTGTACAACATTTATAAAAATTCGACGAATTTTAACAAATGCTGATCAAAATATTAAACTTTTTAATCAGGTTTTTTTTGAGCATGCAGTTTTGTAGCCCATTAAATTTAAGTATAAAAAGCTGCAAGTTCGAAGTAACTTGGACTTACCGTTGATTTTTGGCAATTTTTTGTTCGCGTATTTTTTTGGATACAAGAATGCTCAACAATTTTTTTTGTATGGAAAAAATGAGATTCATGAAATCTTCCACAAAAAATGGACCAAAAATCGACGGTAAATCTTTGCTACTTAAAATTTGCACTTCATTATACTTAAATTGAACATAGTCCGAATGTTTCTAGGAAATCTAATTAAAAAGCTCACAATTTTGATGAAACTTTATAGAATTTTGATAATTTTTGTACAAAGTTTGATTCACATGGTTGTGTTTGCCGCTGTATCTACAGCTTATGTTTTTCATATTCATGAATTTTTTGAGGTAATTAATATTATTTTCTATAATTTCACTAAACACCACAGGCTAGAATCCTTTCATTACAAAATAAATAAAACAAAACTTAACAAATAATTTCACAAGCCTTTTAAAAATTTTGACAAGAATGATCACTGGCATACAGCGCGTGTACCAGTTTGAAAAAAAAACATAACCAAAGATTATAGAAAATAAGGATGCTGGCTATGCTTGCGGCTCCACTATATTTCTATGTTCTTTGTGATTATGAAAGTGCTGCCACGTTTGTACGAAAATTTGTTTTTGGGCCAGAGTACTTGGAGAAAATTGGAAATCGAGACTTAATCGGTACAAATATGAAAAAGCGGGACACTTATACGTCCCGACTTTTTCCCAAAATCGGTACGAATAGTCAACGTAAGTATACCC